TCATCTTCACCTTGTAAAGTGCTCGCTCGTCGGTGTGGCGTGTGCGATGACCACCACCACGCGACTTTTTCGTGCTGTGCGCGGCGCATCTAAGCACCACAGTGCGTGGTTTTATTGTGTTTGTGTTATTTGTAGCTGGTGACTTTGTGTACTTCGTATCGGAATCGCCTCCAGTGCTGTTGCTGGCGGCAATAAAAGTTGTTTAAAAGTGAAAAGTCTCTCCCCACTCTCTCTCTCTCCCCACTGTGTCCTTTTTCACGCTGTCTCTCTCCCCGCTCTCTCTCTCCCCACTCTCTCTCCACGCTCTCTCTCTCCACGCTGTCTCCCCACTCTCTCTCTCCACGCTCTCTCTCCCCACTCTCTCTCCACGCTCTCTCCCCACTCTCTCTCCACGCTGTCTCTCCACGCTCTCTCTCTCCACGCTCTCTCTCTCCACTCTCTCTCCCCGCTCTCTCTCCACTCTCTCTCCCCGCTCTCTCTCCACGCTGTCTCCACGCTCTCTCTCTCCCCGCTCTCCCCACGTCCATTCTCGGCCTCGAGTCTTCAACCGCCCGTGCTTTAAGCCCCCGGCAGCCTGGACCTTTCGACCCCCCCTCCCCCAAGCCTCTTTCCCCCTTCCTTGGCGTGCCCTCTTCGCCTACTCCTCTCCTCAATGGCGCCGTCTAGTGGACAGAGGCGAGTTTAGTTTTAGAGCTCGGTCGATGGCACCGTGATGATCTTGATGATCATCTCGATCTTCATCATAGTCATCATCATGATTGTGGGGATTGATACAGACATCGTCCTCTTCCCCAATATGCAGTGACGTCTCAAGAGCGCTGTACCACACGCATCTCGTATCAACGCGTTTGAAAGGGGCACCCGCTCCCATAGTGGCAGCTGTCCCCGTGTGTACGTTGAACTTCTTTCGCATCGTACGTAGCCAACCGTGTTAATTCGGAGGTGCGGGGGGTGGGGGATAACAAACTAAAGACAAAAAGCAGTTCTAAAGAAGTGAGTTTATCAATCTAAATGATGAAGTAAAAGTGCGTAGCTCCCCAGTAGCTTTCTAATATCGGAAAGGAAGAACGTTCCAGACTGCCACGGAAGCAGCGCATCTGAACGCGTCGTGACGCAGTGTGACAGTCTTTGTTCGCACAGTGGGGGGGGGGGGGGGCACAGGCGGTGCATCGGCTACTCATCTCAACCAGTCAACCGCATGGCACTTGCTGGGTCGACGCTTCACGTGGCCTTAACGTGCACAAAGCCTGGCACATGCGCCGTGGTGACGTCACCGCCACTTAGTGGCGAAGTGTTTGTTGTTGTTGTCCATGACATAGGTTTTTTTTGGGTTAGAGCGCATATATAGAAATGTGTCGGTAGACCCGCCACCACCCCACATTAACAATGAGTACGACGATTCACCAGTAATTACAACTAGCTTTATCAGGCGACAGCCAGATTTGTGCAGAAATCCTCCTGTTTCGTTCCTTCGAGGGATAGATGTAATGACGTTGTGGATTTGCTCTGCAATACACCGGCTAGCGCTGTACTTGTGTAATGACGACTTCGACGCACTTGTCTTGAGATGGTTTATTTTATTTAAGGAGCCACGTGCTCACACTCCAACAGGGGAGACTCCACTGCAACAGCTCTGAGTCTCCCACGCATCTCCCTTATATCCTGTCCGAGGCCACGCCCCCATTCCCGAACCTTCTCGCTGGCTCTGGACGCCGGCTCCACCAGCAGACTCTACCGTCGTCTTCCGTCACCTGGCTACACTATTCGCGATCATTCCCGTGGCCACTAGTCCATTCGCACTGCAGGCTGACTCCCCTGTCATTACCTCCCGTGGCCACTAGTCCATTCGCACTGCAGGCTGACTCCCCTGTCATTACCTCCCGTGGCCACTAGTCCATTCGCACTGCAGGCTGACTCCCCTGTCATTACCTCCCGTGGCCACTAGTCCATTCGCACTGCAGGCTTACTCCCCTGTCATTACCTCCCGTGGCCACTAGTCCGTTCACATCGTAGGTTGACTCTACTGTCATGACACTAGTAACGAATCGGCACGTTCAGTTTACGTGACAAACCTTACTAATTGGCTGTGTCGGTGGTGGCGGGTTCAGCGACACATTTATATTCACGCGATCTAACCCAAAAAAACCTCTATCATGGATATTGGTCATGAACGCCTCCTACGTGTTAAACTGTTGTTGTTGTAGTAATAGGTTTACCCTTTTAACTGGCACAAAAACTGACACCTTTATTCAAGGCATCATGTTTGCAATAACCACAACACAAGCAGTCAAAATGCAAACAAAAGAGACAACTCTGATAATGATATGCACTGTCCTTGAATTTGATTGGTCCACACCCGAGACGGCTTTTCTTAGAGCCTAGTCTCCACTGGTGTTGGACCAGAAGACGCCAAAAGGCGTACAACTCAAAAACAGCGCACTATCAGAGTATTGAGGGTGAAACCTATTACTATATCTTGTTACTGGAAAAGGAGGTCTCATAATGTTGTTGTTGTTGTCTTTGTTCGATGGCTGAGCCAAAAGCCGCCGCTGCGAAGATGACCGGGCACGCGGCCTGTGAGCGGCTGGCCCAGGTGCTGGCCAGTCGGGCACAAAGAAGGCAAATCGTTTCGTTTTGCAGGTGCTTTTTTCTACAATTATAAAATAAAAAAATAATTGTGACCATGACGCCGACACGCAAATGGCCTAACTCTCGCGAATGACGTCACTCGCGGTGTTTTTCCTTTTGTTTACCAGTTCGCTTGGCACGGTTGGCAAGGAGTTCAACACACAAACGCACATACAACCACATGCGAGTGAAGCAGACGTGTATTATTATTATTCGTTTTTTACGCGCCGCAGTATTAACCAGGGCGGCAGTTTGGGCTCTGGAACCGTGAACCTCTTGCAAACAAAAAAAGTGAACGCCGAGCCACGTGTCACCAGCGCTGCGGGTCGATCGCTCACGAAGGCTGGAAACTCCAGGTCATGCCCATCGCAACGCAGCTGATGACTTGCCATCCACACACGACGAACGCTGCCTTTACCGACTGTAGGGGCAAGTGCTGTTAGCGAGTAGCACCTACGAAGGCCGACACAGCACACGAGGGGTTGATTGGCCAACACCACGCCCGTCCGCACTTTGTCTCCCCAGTGGCGATGTTTACACAACCGCACCAGGTACTCATTTTGCGGCCGAGCCGACTTAGGGGAGGTCCATGGCCGGTTCAGACAATCGTCGCCGGTGTTGGTGGCCGTGAGCGGGAATCGAACTCGGATCGCTGGGTTTGTCGCGCAGCGTGCTAACCGCTGCACCACCGCTCCCCACACACGTACACACACGGATATGTAGATATGTGCGCGCACGCACACAATAGCAGTCATGCCTCACTCAATGCTGTCAACGTCGCCACAGAGCTTTTGCCAGGTTCGGGGCACTGATAAAAGACAAAGATCCCCCGTATAGCTTTTAACAGACTGTTGGGACAAGTGCCGTTATCATTATTAAAGGCCGAAACGGCACACGATGGGGTGGGTGGCCGGAACCACGCTCCGGCCGTCTTTGTCTCCCCAATGCTGATGTTTACACACCACACCAGTTGCTCATTTAAGGCTGATGCGACATAGGGGAGGCCCCAGGACCAGTATGGATTGTTCACCACTTAAGTTGGCCGCGAGCAGGAATCGAAGTCGGTTCGTAGCATTGACACACGCGCGCTCACGCGCGCACACCTACATGCACTTAATTACAAATATATTAACACATTTAACACACACGCGTGCACACAGCAACACTTCTACTATGAAATGTATTGCCGTCACATTTTAGAAATCGGTGTAAATCTGAACTCAAGGAACCTACGTTTTGGCACAAATCGGTCACCCTCATTACCACGCTCCTGACCGCTGAAGTCCCACAGGAGCCCGGAGTGACAAGACACTCACTGCAGACGAAATAGGACACGGCTCGACACACACGGCCAGTACTCACCGACACACCACTCACCGACACACACACACCACTCACCAACACACACACCACTCACCGACACACACACACCACTCACCAACACACACACCACTCACCGACACACACACACCACTCACCAACACACACACCACTCACCGACACACACACACCACTCACCAACACACACACCACTCACCGACACACACACACCACTCACCAACACACACACCACTCACCGACACACACACACCACTCACCAACACACACACCACTCACCGACACACACACACCACTCACCGACACACATAGAGCACTCACCAACACACACACCACTCACCGACACACACACACCACTCACCAACACACACACCACTCACCGACACACACACACCACTCACCGACACGCACAGAGCACTCACCAACACACAGAGAGCACTCACCAACACACACACCACTCACCGACACACACACCACTCACCGACACACATAGAGCACTCACCAACACACACCACTCACCAACTCACACACCACTCACCGACACACACACCACTCACCGACACACACACCACTCACCGACACACATAGAGCACTCACCAACACACACACACCACTCACCAACACACACACCACTCACCAACACACACACCACTCACCAACACACAGAGAGTACTCACCGACACATACACACCACTCACCGACACGCACACACCACTCACCAACACGCACACACCACTCACCAACACACACACACCACTCACCAACACACACACAGACACCAACACACACACACCACTCACCAACACACACACCAACACACACACCACTCACCAACACACACACCACTCACCGACACACACACACCACTCACCAACACACACACACACACACCACTCACCGACACCCACAGAGCACTCACCAACATACAGAGAGCACTCACCAACACACAGAGAGTACTCACCGACACACACACACACACCACTCACCAACACACACAGCACTCATCCACAAGCACAGACGGAACTCACCGACACTCGCCGACATGCACGGACCTTTACTCGACGGTCTCCTATGGGCTCTCGGCGCCATCACTCGCTCATATTTACGTCGACGATTTCCCAATCGGCAGAGGCAAGATGAACCCCTACGCTGCGCCCACTCTCGATCGATCGCTTTCGCACACGGTCCGAGTGTGGGATCTGACTACGTGGGAGGCGACTGCTGAAAGTCCGTGGCGTCTATCGGTCAAACCCTACCACGGAAAAAAATCATCCACACTGCTTCGGAGCAAAGTGGCACGCAAACGAGAAGGCGCCGCGGGTTTCCCCTTCCGCGGAATCAAAGCCTGGGGCCTAACCCCCCCCCACTGGGCCCTACCCCCCCCCCCCGGGGCCTAACCACCCCCTGGGATCACGGGGGGGGGGGGGGGGCCTTCCCTGAACACCCCCGGAGTGGTTCTGGATCGTCGCCTCGCATTCCGACGGCGACCACCTGCCGAGATAAGACGTGAAACACTGACATGAGACCGACACGGCGCGCGTGTGGAATAACGAACGATACAGTTTAATATTATTGTGATAATTAGTGTTGTCGGTCATATCAACCGGCCAGAAGATGCCATGGTAAAGCACAGCGTTCCACTCACAATCGCGGTCGAGTCCCGGTCACGGGTTGACTTGGAACATCATCATTATTCTACCTCCAGCGTCAAGCAAATGTGTTTTTGGAGGAACAGCCTCTGCCGAAGGAATGTGGAATTTCTACATACGTATGTACGTGTGCGCGCCGAACTTCTTTTCGCACCGTACGTAGCCGCCCGTGCTAATCGGAGGGTGCGGGGGGTGGGGGGGGCAGAGGGTGGGAGGGGGGGGGGCACGCACGCTCCGACTTGGACTCACGTCTGTGCCAGAGCTCCAAAGTGAAACGCATGCTCATCTCATGATGACGACGATGGCAACAATCGAGATAAAGGCGGAGAAAAAGGTACTTTATATATGTTATTTTTTAACGGGAGTCGATTCCTGAATGGGTAATCCACGGTGGGTAAACTGTTCCCATCAAGTCATCAGTCTACTCTGAAATTTAGTGTATGGGGGGGGGGGGGGGGGGGTGAGCCCACAGTGTGCCCCGTGGCTCACACATCATGGGAACTGACTTCGTGCCCTAGTGCTCTGCCTGGGCCGGAACCAGTCTGATACCGGGCCAGCACGGGCCCGGTTGCCAAGTGGCAATACCCCAGCTGAGCCAGCGTGGCACTCTCACGGTAAGGGGTAGTTTCCCAGAGCCAAACCGTGCTACGCTGGCGTCACGAGACGTCTGAATCCCGCTCGGGGCCAAGCCGGGGCCAGGGGTGGCACTTGAATTTGCATTCCTCGCGCGCGACGTCAGCGGCACGGGCACGGCTCGGCTCGGCTCGCGCAGTGGAAAAAACGCCCTGGCGCCTCCGGATCCGCATCAGGGCTGGCCAACGCACAGCACGGCACGGCTCGGTTGTCGGTGTAGCAAAGAGGTGACGGAGAAGCAGAGTTGATCACGGAGCCTGAGACAAAACTGGGCCGATACTGGGCCGGCAGTGGTTGTGGAAACGACGCGCGAGCCACCGTTCCGCGTGTGGCCGGTGGCCCCCTGGGCTGTGATCACATGACGCTGCACCAGGTCCTCCTCCTCCCGTTCACAGGCTCCGTGTCGTCTTCGCTGCTCGAAGCCCTGGAATATGAGCCTGGATGATGGAAAATGACGGGTGGAGGGGGGGGTGAAGGTTTACAATGGCTGTGTCAGACACACTGGAGAGATGAACTATTTTGGTATCTCTGTCTCTTAGGGGATTTAAAATGGCCATGCCACAGATACTGAGAAAGCGCCATCAAGATCCTGGTTTCAAAGTACCAAGGCCAAGTCTGGATGTGTCTCTCTATCTGTCTCAGGGGGTTCATAATGGATGTGTTGAAAACACCAGACTGATTAAGAATGTGAAGTGTTTTTTTCCGAACTAAACTATTTTTATTTTACTAGGTTAAGGCCCACTGAGCTATATAGCTCTTTTTCAGAAGCGACCTGGCTATTATAAATGATAGCTCAACGAAGTGGCTCATCACGTGGAAATGTACGGCAGCCAAATACAGAAACACGCGATGGCGATTCTAAGTGTGGAGGGAAAAACCGGAGGACCCGGGAGAAAAATCCACGTGGCCACGGGGAGAGAGAGAGAGAGAGATGCAGACTCCAAATATACAGCAGGCGTCAGGGGTCGGGATCGAACCCACGACCTCCTGCACAGCAGGCGAGGTCGTTATCATCTCGCCACCGTGGTGCGGTGTCGAATGTAAGTGGAGGTCTCATCGTGAAGAAAATACAACTTAGGCTATGGTCACGGCGCTCCGCCGCAGCTCGGCAACGGTGATGTCACTGCAGTGGCGAAATGAAAAGTTTTGGACTGGCGTGAAGATCTCGGAGGTGGCATGACGTATTACTACTTCAGCAGCACCGCCGGTGTTGCTGTTGTAGTAGGGACAGCGACCCGCACACACCGAACAACTCGGGAGTGCATGTCTCGCCGATAGTTACAGCCAGCAGCATCATCATCACCATCAGGCATAATAAGAGATGCCGGTTGTGATTACTGGCGAAACGTCGTACTCAGATTGTAAATGTTGTGGATTTGCTCTCCAACACACCGGTGTGCTGTACTAGTAACGAATTGGCACATTCGGTTTACGTGACAAACCTTACTAATTGGCTGTTTCGGGTGGTGGCGGGCAACTGCCTGATGACGAAGACAGTCCCAAAAACACAAGTACCAATAATATTAATTTAAAGTTTCACGTTGATAATGTTCAGTTGATCGATCACCCGAAGGGCCGACAGCCGCGGCCTCTGGGTCATGCGGCTCTGGGTGGCTCAGCTCTGGGTGGCACAGCTCTAGGTCATGCGGCTCTGGATGGTGCGGGTCTGCATGGTGCGGGTCTGCGTGGTGCGGGCGTACAGGCTGGAGGTGCCCCATCGGCGTGGCGGTGGGGCGGGTCATCCGAGTGATATTTGGTTGCTATAAATTTACACGTGATGAGCATCTTTGTTAAGCGATGATTTGTGGCCAGGTCGCTTCTGAAAAATAAGTGAACACATCGGTGGGCTTTGCCTGGTAGAGGATGGGGATGGCTTTGTTTAATTTGTATGTGTTTAGGCGATTTGCTTGCTCTTTACTGTACTCCTACCGTGTTTTTGTATTGTTTGGCACTGTAGCGTTCTTACCTCGTGCCCCTTCTGAACATCTGTGGAAAAGAGGCTCATAGCTCATCGGATTCGTCCAGCGTAGATAAATAAAAATGTTTCTCCGCTGCACTCACCGAGCGAGCTGTCGGAGGCCGAGCTCTCGTCATCGCTCCAGACGTCTTCGTCGCGCTCAAACTCGCGCCGGAAGCTCGAGACCACAACGTGTCTGCACGCATGCACGGTCAAAGATATAGGCTCCCCCGTGCAGCCTTAACAGATTGAGGCTGAGTCGACCTAGGGGAGACCCAGGACCGGTAAAGATGTATGTATATATGTTTAACTTCTTTCGAATGGTACGAAGCCAACCGTGCGAATCGGACGTGCGATTAGCACGATGATCGTCACTGGCGTTCATGGCCGTGAGCGGGAATCGAACTTAGGTGGCCGGGGATCGTAGCGCGGCGCGCTAACCACTGCACTACCGCTCCCCAAACACAAACAAAGACAAGGCTCCCCCTCATAGCCTTAACAGACTTTTGGGGTAAGTGCAGTGGCGAACACCTTTGCAGGCCAGCACAGCACACATGTTTACACACCGCACCAGTTACTCATTTGAGGCTGAGTCGACGTAGGGGAGGCCCAGGACCGGTTCAAATAATCGTCACTCGTGGTGGCCGTGAGGGATGAGTGACACGTACCCGTGCGCGAGTGATGAGTAACGAGTAACCCCACGTGTGCGAGCGACGTGTACCCGCGTGAGAGACTTGTACCCGTGTGCGAGCGACGTGTACCCACGCGTGAGAGACGCGTACCCATGTGCGAGCGACGTGTACCCGCGTGAGAGACGTGTACCCACGCGTGAGAGACGTGTACCCGCGTGAGAGACGTGTACCCACGCGTGAGAGACGTGTACCCGTGTGCGAGCGACGTGTACCCGCGTACCGGTGCAAGAGGCGCGTACACGCGCGAGAGACGTGTACCCGCGTGAGAGACGTGTACCCATGTGCGAGCGACGTGTACCCGCGTACCGGTGCGAGAGGCGCGTACACGTGCGAGAGACGTGTACCTGTGTGCGAGCGACGTGTACCCACGCGTGCGAGATGCGTACCCATGTGTGAGCGACGTGTACCCGCATATCAGTGTGTGAGTGACGTCTACCCGCGTACCCGTCCTCGCGGTGGTGGCTGCTGGCTCCACCCCCGTGCGGGAGCTCCTCCCACAGCAGGAGGCTCCGCCCCCCCGTGCCCCAACGCTGCAGGCCGCTGGGGGTGCAGGTGGTGGCGACGCAGAGCACGCGGGGGGTCGCTTCACCCCCCAGCGTCGCCACGTACGGCTCCCCGCCCTCCGCAAGCAGCCGCACTGGACACACGGTGGGGGGGGGGGGGGGGGGGGGGGGGGCGGGGCAGGGGAGGGGCGACGGGCGAGAGGACGGAGACACGAAACAAGATCTGTTTTTTTTATTTTATCAGGTAAGGGTCACTGAGCTATATCGCTTTTTTTTTTTAGAAGCAACCTGGCCATCACAAATGGCTCATCGTGTGGACGTCTATCGCAGCCAAGTACTGTAAACGCGTGGCGTTTATTCGAAATGAGGGAAAAAAACCGGAGGACCCGGAGAAAAATCAGGGTCGGGATCGAACCCACGACTTCCTGCACACCGGGCGAGGTAGTGAACATCTCGCCACGGTCGCGTGAGCAGTGGCTGCTCAGGGGCGAGGCGGCGGGAGGAGGTGCGACGGTGGAACTCGTTGGCACGCGCGCGTGGGGGCCGCCCGCGCGGCGCCTCCCACCGCTCACCGTTGATGTAGCCGTGACCTCGGTCAATGTCGTAGCCCGCGGACAGCATCAGGCGAGCGTCGCCATCGCCGCCGCCGCTCGCCGTGGACAGGCAGTCGGTGAAGCCGCAATCGCTGTTGTGGTTGGGCAGCTTCCGCAATATGGAGCCTGATTGGGAGGGGAGTGGGGGTGGAGGGGAAGGGCGATAAGGGAGGGTTTCAAGTTGATTGTGAGTAATGAGGTTAAGAACTCAAGGGACCAGGATGAGTCTCATTTGCAAGAGAGACCCGGATCACCAAATGTCTCGCACCTCCGATTAACGCAGTTGGCTTCTTACGGTGCAGGAGAGCATATCTCATGAACGAGGGGATGGGCACTTAACGCCGTTAGATGTGACATACTGAGCCACAGTCCTGCCCGACCGCGACCCTGACCCCGTCCATGACCCTGTCCATGACCCCGACTGGGACACTGACCGCGACCCTGACCCTGTCTGTGACCCTGACCCTGACCGTGCCCCTAACCTCATCAAGACTCCGACCTTGCCCGTGACCCCGATCGCGAACCGCACCGCGACCTCGACCGTGTGACACTGAGCGCGACCCCGAACCCTGCCGCGGCCGCGACCCTCACCCGTCCGCCAGTCGAGGACCCGGATGCTGGTGCCTTCGTCGGCGGAGTAGAGGAGGCGGCCGTGGGGTCGCGGCGCCGCGAGGAGGCAGCGCAGGGGGGACGCGCCGCGGCGGCGCCCGTCGGCGCTCCACTCCTCGCCCTCCGTGCAGAAGAGCAGGTGCAGGCGGGGGCCGGGGCGCAGCTCCCACACGCGCACCTGGCCATCCCGGCCACCCGTGCACGCCAGCGAGCCGTGCAGCTTGCGCGGAGAGCGGAAGGGGAGGAGCAAGCGAGAGACGAGAGGGATAGAGAGACAGAGGGAGAGCCCGAGGTGGAGGAAAAGATAAGAAGGTAGAGATGGGGAGAGAGAGAGAGAAATGGGGAGATCGGGAGGGAGAGAAAGAGGCAGGGAAGGAGAGAAGGCATGGAGAGGGACGGGGAGATGGGGAGAGAGAGATAGGGAGAGAGAGAAATAGGCAGGGAAGGAGAGAGGCATGGAGAGAGGCAGGGAGACAGGGAGATGGGGGGAGAAAGATGGGAAGATGGGGAGAGAGAAAGAGGCATGGAAGGCAACAGGCGTGGACAGAGACAGGGAGCCGGGGAGATGTGTAGAGAGAGACAAATGGGGAGAGAGCCAGGGTGACAGGAAGATGGGGAGATAGGTATACGGGGAGACAGAGTAAGGGATATAGGGGTAGCGGATAGAGATAGCAAACGTAAAGTGGGAGGAGTGATTAAGAGGAGGGAGGGGAAAGAGAGGAGCAGGTTGGGGAGAAAGCGGAGGAGAAAATGAGGAAGATAGATAAAAAAAAGAGAGCAAAAGAAAGAGTAAGGAGGAGAATTTGGAGGAGAGGGAGGAAGAGGAGAGACAGACGTGAGGAGCGAGAGCGTGGGAGAGACGGGGAGAGATAACAGCCGTGTTTACACTTCCCTCTCGTGTCAGACACAAAGACACATGTGGACACACACGTGACAGGTCCTCGCCAAGCTGCACTGGCTTCCCCTTGCTGAATGAATACATTTTACGGTCACATTCATTACAAACAAAGTGCTTGCCACAAATAAACCACAATACCTTGCTGATCTCGTCAAGGAGCATAAATCACCACGCAAACGGCGGTCATCCTCACAGCGGCTTTTGGCTAGGCATCTCACAAATACATTGCGCGCTTTCAGATGCGCTTCTGCGACCGTCTGGACTGCTCTTACTTCTCATATTAGGAAGCCAATGGAGCTATCTATATATATAAAAGTCCAAAATTGTCTGTTTCTGGCTTTGTGCGTATTCGCGCGCTTGCGAAGGGTTTGGCTCTCCAACGGTGGGGTTTACGATAAATTAAAAGTCAGGTACCACGCTGTAAGCCCCGCCGTGAGCAAGCGCTATTCCTTTTTCACATCCATCAACTTTTTATAAATTTAATTAGCGATTTAGTGCGATTTGTTTGCGCTATTTATTCATTTATAACGAGTGCACGACCATACCAACTCACGCGCCATTGGTGGGGGGGGGGACGGCCCATGCCTTCGGTGGGAGTGAGGGGGACATTTTATTTCGCGTTAAAAATGCTATAAAAATACACTAAACGCTGATCTTAAATCATCACTGTGTGATGTCCCCACCACCCCGATGCGTGCAGTTACTAATATATACAGTCGATAGATGCTACCAGTATAGGCCGTAGATATTACTGCAGAGCGGCCGGGCAGATCGTGGCTGGGGGGGGGATCAGGGGTAGCAGCCCAGCCCAGCCTGCCAAGGTGCCACCTCGGCCGGCTGGGCAATCTAGGCGAGGCCGGAGGCTCTGCACGGGACTAGGCCTCACCACGCCACTCTGTCAGGTGAGTACTTTGTGCTATACAGTCGATAAATACTGCTATAGAGTCAGCATGTACTACTGTAGTGATAGCTGGTACCACCACAGTCGGTATGCACTGCTGTAATCATAGCAGGTACCACCACAGTCAGTACGCACTGCTGTTAGATTTTGAATAGTTTTGAAATCTTTTTTTGGCCCGGACAACGCCAGGTATATAAGCTAGTGCACTTTTAAAACTAATTTTTTTAGAACTGCTTTTTGTGTTTAGTTTGTTGTCCTTCCCCCACACCTCGAATTATCACGATTGGCTACGCATGGTGCAAAAGAAGTTCAACGTACATACATACACAGGCAGGCACACATACCCATGGGCACACACAGACTCGAACACAGGTGTGCTCTCACCTGCAGGCAGGTGATGGCCTCTTCGTGAGCACGAAACGACTGCACGCTGGCGCCCGTCGTGAGGTCCCACATGTCCAGCTTCCCTCCGTCTCCCCATCCCCGGCACACACACACAAAGATCCCCCAATATTGCCTTAACAGCCTTTTGGGGCAAGTGTTGTTAGTGGGCACTGATGAAGGCCAGCACAGCACACGGGGGGGGGGAGAGGGTGGGTGGCCAGCACCACGCCCGAGTGGCGATGTCTGCACACCACAGTAGGTACTCAGTTGAGGCTGAGTCAACCTAGGGGCAGCCCAGGACCGGTTCTGATAATCGTCATTGGTGTTGGCCGTGAGCGGGAATCGAACTCGGGTCGCCGGGTTCGTAGCGCGTCGCGCTAACCGCTCCACTACCGCTCCCCGAACACAGACACACAGAAACGCACACACGCAGACAATACGTTCGGGAGCATGAATGCCAATGTCGAGGTCTGATAGCCACGAGAGGGCTGCATTAACAGTTAATCATAATTTAGAACGACATTTATTGTTGTGCCATTCTCATAGGACGAGGCTATCACGCAGGTGCAGCTATATTTCACAGACAGTCTGTGGTAGATTCACAGTGGAGGGGGGGGGGGGGGGGGGGGGGGGTGGCGGCGATGTTGCTGCTGCTGTACGTGATACCCACCGAGAAACTCGGCATTGTGTCATTTTTCAACATTTAGAGAATTTGAAGCGTGTCGCGGGGCACAGGACGACGGCCGACTCTTTGTGAATGACGTCACGGGATCTTTAACGTCGGTGTGCGCGGTGGGACTAAGCCCCGCGGAGTTTCTGTACCCCCCCCCTTTCTGCGTCGTGGTTTTGTACTCTGTACCGGGCTCCAATTGGGAGGAGAAAGAAATAATCCTTGTGAATGCGTGTGTGTACGTACGCGTGTGTACGTACGCGTGTGTGTGTACGCGTGTGCGTGTGTGTGTGTGTGCGATGGTGCTCCCGCGGATCACCGGACGCGGAGAGGAGGAGCCCCGGGTCGGGGAGGAACACGATCGCCGACACGGGGCTGTAGGTGTAGACGCTCCGCACCTCCTGCCCTGAGCACACACAAGACAGAGTCCCCCATGTATAGCCTTTAACAGACTGCTGGGGCAAGGGCTGTTAGCGAGAACCTCACACACACACACACAACAAATATCCCCCGTATAGCCTTTAACAGACTGCTGGGGCAAGGGCTGTTAGCGAGAACCTCACACACACAACAAAGATCCCCCGTATAGCCTTCAACAGACTGTTGGGGCAAGTGCTGTTAGCGAGTAGCACTTATGAAGGCCGGCACGGCACACGAGGGGGTGGGTGGTCAGCACCACCGCCCTTTGTCTCCCCAGTGGCAATGTTTACACACCGCACCTTGGGGAGGCCCAGAACCGTTTCAGTTAATCGTCACGAGTGTTGACCACGAGCGGGAATCAAAATTCACGTCGCCGGGTTCATAGCGCAGCGCACCAACTGCTCCACAACCACTCCTCACACACACACATGTAACAAGAATAATAATCATAATCAGAAAGTCGGTAACTAAAGAGAGGGGGCCATTTGGTGCATGTGGCTGGTTAGGGCAGGAAAGCAGACAAGCTGCAAGGTGGCCAGAAACCGCTGCCAACGATTGCCCAAGCTCAGTGGTCTGCCAGTAGGGGGCAATGATTGCTGGGTGTAATCTCAATTGTGTAATTTTTAGGATTATTTTATTATTACTATTTAAAATTTTGGCAAATTTGGCCGGCGACACAGTGGCCTACCCTTGCGAAAGACGTCACGAGATCTCTAACGTCCGCCACGAAGCAAACGGCGTGTGGTGTTTTACGGTGAATGCACCCACGGCGTTAACCAGGACGGCCGCTGGGTCTCAACTGCGAACCTCTACAACGGGGGCAGTGGAGGAGCAAAAGTTTTGGGGCCGCGTCACCCACGACGACGACGATCGCTTTTTTTATAGAGCACCCTGCGTCTCAGAACACTTCGCATGCAACGATCGGCACGCATTGCATCTATATTTCTAACGTCTCAAAGGGCTCCCTCCAGTGGCAGATGTTCCCGTGCGGCACAGGGTGACTCGGCACCCAGCGATCGCTCTCTTCACCTGTGCGCAGAGACCAGATCTTGACTGTGCAGTCGCTGGATCCACTCGCCAAGAAATCCTCATCGTCCGCGCAATCAAGAGCCTTCCCTGAACACACGGCAATGACACACACCCCGGTTAAGCGATGGCTCTGGTTTAGTGATGGCCCTAGTTCAGCAAAAGCTTTTGTTTAGCGAAGACCCAAGTGTAGTGTTGACTGGTTTAGTGATGGCTCTGGTTTAGCAATGGCTCTGGTTTAGCGACGGCTCTGGTTTAGCGATAGCTCTGGTTTAGCGATGGCCCTAGTTTAGCGATGGCCCTAGTTTAGCGATAGCTCTGGTTTAGCGATGGCCCTAGTTTAGCGATGGCCCTAGTTTAGCGATAGCTCTGGTTTAACGATGACCCTAGTGTAGTGTTGACTGGTTTAGCGATAGCTCTGGTTTAGTGATAGCTCTGGTTTAGCGATAGCTCTGGTTTAGCGATGGCCCTAGTTTAGCGATAGCTCTGGTTTAGCGATGACCCTAGTGTAGTGTTGACTGGTTTAGCGATAGCTCTGGTTTAGCGATGGCTCTGGTTTAGTGATGGCTCTGGTTTAGCAATGGCTCTGGTTTAGCGATGGCTCTGGTTTAGCAATGGCCCTAGTTTAGCGATGGCTCTGGTTTAGCGAAGGCCCTAGTGTAGTGTTGACTGGTTTAGCCATGGCTCTGGTTTAGCCATGGCTCTGGTTTAGCGATGGCCCTAGTTTAGCGATGGCTCTGGTTTAGCCATGGCTCTGGTTTAGCGATGGCTCTGGTTTAGCGATGGCTCTGGTTTAGCGATGGCCCTGGTTTAGCCACGGCTCTGGTTTAGTGATGGCTCTGGTTTAGCCATGGCTCTGGTTTAGCGATGGCTCTGGTTTAGCGATGGCTCTGGTTTAGCGATGGCTCTAGTTTATCCATGGCTCTGGTTTAGTGTTGACTGGTTTATCGATGGCTCTGGTTTAGCGAAGGCTCTGGTTTAGCGATAGCTCTGGTTTAGTGATGGCCCTAGTTTAGCGATGGCTCTGGTTTAGTGATAGCTCTGGTTTAGTGATAGCTCTGGATTACTGATAGCTCTGGTTTACCGATGGCTCTGGTTCAGCGATGACCCTGGTTTAGCAAAGGCCCTGGTTCAGCGAAGGTCAATTTTTACCGATGGCGGTGGCGGTGGCGGCTGGGGCGATGGCCACGCAGGTGACGCTGCCCGTGTGCCCACCGAGGTTGGCCTCCTCCGTGCCCGTCGCGGCGTGCCACAGCTTCACCGTTGTATCGCGGCTGCAGGCGACGTCGCAACAACACGGCACAGAGCACGCAAAAAAATGCTCGTACAATACAAAAATGCCATCGCGAAATTTACACAATAATATGCACGGGGCAGTGACAGGGCCCAGAGGTACCACTATTTTCAGAGGTTCGCGGTACGATTGCAGTGGCTGCCCTGGTTATTACTGCAGGTGGATTAACCGTAAAATACTACGCACCGTCTGCTTCACAGTGGTCCATTAAAGATCCTGTGACGTTATTTCAAACAAGCAGCCCATTGCGTGCTAGGCATCACGGTACAATAAAAAAATTACCCCCAAATTACTGGGCTGTGCCGGCCCAGTATCGCGGTGGCTAGATGTTAACCCCCTCGCCTGGTATGCTGGATGTCGTGGGTTCGATCCCGGCCCCGACGCCTGTATATATGGAGTTTGCGTGTCTCTCTCCCCGTGGTTGCATGGATTTTTCTCTGAGTACTCCAGTTTTTTCCCTCCACATTTAGAAACGTACATTTAGAGGATTTGGCTGCTATAAATTTCTAGATGATGATGAGCACACTTCGTTGAGCTATCATTTGTGGCCAGGTCACTTCTGAAAAAGAGCTACGTTGCTCAGTGGGGCCTTACCTGATAAAATAAAATAATAGTTTGGTTTTAAATAGTTTAGTTTTAGTTCCTTCGCCGCTCTAAGGGACGATGATAGGTTGATAAGTTCACCAATGCGCGTGTGTAAGTTATTCCTGCCTAAGTGCTCATTCCTCTCCTTTTATCATTCCCCCACCCCTTCCCCACTCCTCCCGGCACCCCCTCCTTCCCCCCTGCTCCCTCCACTTTCTTTTCTAAGTTCTGTTTCCCCTCACAGTCCCCTCCTCATATTAAAATACACACAGCCCACTCGTGGTCCCCAATCGGTGTAACGGCGAGCCCACTCTTCCCCCCCCCACCTCCCCATCTTTAAACTCAGGGGCACAAATTTCGGGACTGAGGTCCGCGGAGTTTCTGTAACCGCCCTCCCTGCTTCACGCTTTGTACTCTGTAAAATACATAACATCGACGTAAATATATGTATGTACATACATGTATGTCGATGTTACGTGAGTGGATGTGGGTTGACGTCCACTCACTCAACATTGTGTAAAAGCATTCAGTAAATAAATATAACTCGGCTCCTATTAAAATATAAAAATGTTTTTTATTATTGTCCGTCTCTCTCTCCGTACGAGGGAGAAGAGTGCCCCCACCTCCTCCCCCCCCCCCCTTTCTCTCTCTCACGTGTCCTTGCCTGCCGGAGACGATGTACGATCCGTGGAAGGCGACGGCGGTGATGAGGTCGCTGTGGCCCACCAGCGGCGTCACGGCGAAGCGCGCGTTCCCCCAGCGCTCCCGCAGCCGCCGCAGCCCCGCCGCGGCCGCCGGCTCCGCCTCCTTCTTCGCCGCCGCCGCCGATACCACCGCCGGCGCCGTCGTCACCGTCGGACGCGCCCCCGCTTCTTTCGCTGACGGGCACAAGCGAGCGAGCGCGTGTCGCTTGACCTAAACCGGCCGGTGCTAGAGGGCCCGCGCACTGCCGATCTCGAACAGCTCCTCCGGCTGCCGCTCCGTCGCGACGGACGCCAAATGCACACGCACACACCTGCTTGTCCGGCGCGTGTTTTCTCTGGCGTCCCCTCGCTCCGCGCCTCCTGCTTAGGCTGCTTCGCGGGTGCACACGCGGTCTCTGGGGCAGCGTGAGCGGAGACCCGCGTCCCGCTTCTGCTGCGACAAAAAACGGGAGGCACAACAGTGGAGTTCTCCACCGCGCTGCGGTAACACGGGCGTCACGACGGCGCACACTCACCGCTATCGCAGCGGCCGGTTAGCGATGTCGCGGCAGCACACGCTCACCACCGTCAACGCCGGCAAGTCACAGCGATTACGGTTGCCCTTTCAGGCATCCGTAGCTTGTTTCTCCTTACAACCTATTCTCTACATCATAAACGCATGCAGTCGACAACATACCTTTTTTGCCGTTTGCGAGTAGGATGCCAGTTTTCTATCAAAAGATGGATGCATTTCTTTATCCAGCCTATCGATTGTCAAAATTTTTTTATACAAATCGAGTGAAACTATAACGTGGCACGGAATCAGTCCTCCTGAGCCACACGGTCAGCTGGTGACGACGACGATGAGGTCGACTGATCGCTCACTCGCCCATTACACCACGCTACGTAAACCATTGCAACAACGACGCCCGATCATCGGCAAGGTGGCACCGCAGCAGTAACATTCGCGCCTCACAACGACGTCCTGGGTTCGACTTCCGACTCGGGTGCCTATCTGCGTGGAGTTTGTATGTTTTCTCTGTCTGTCTCTCTCTATGTATGTCTGTCTGCCTGGCAATCTGTCTATTCACTTGTCCAACTGCATTCCTGCCTGCCTGTCTGTCTCTCAGTGTATCGGTGTTTATCTGCAAGTCTGTTTATCGTTTTGGACGGCAAGGCGGCACAGTGGTAACACTTGTGCCTCAAAGCAAGATGGATACTGGGTTCGATTCCTAACTTGGGTGCCTTGTCTGTGCAGAGTTTGTATGTTCTCCCATCGTTCGGCATGGTCTTGCTCCGGATTCTCCAGCAAAAGAAACTGGGATTGGCAAGAAACCATCCTAATGCTGAACACATGACCTGCAAATTATTCAATTGGGACTAAACACAGAAACATCAGCAACCCTTTGTGAAAACTTGTCAGGACCCTCCTGAAAAAGTCTGTAAACTTAGCGAGGCTTTCCTGCGCAAATGATCGTAATAATAACAACAATAGTGATACCCAAAAAATGTGGACACACTGCGTTGGCAGTGGCGCAAAACTCGACACACTCACCAACAAAACTGCCTGAAAAGGAAAACAAAAATAAAAAAATGTAATCCGCGACGTTTTGGGCCACAGCCCTCCTTCATAAGCACGAAAATTCCTTGGTAACGACCGAGCCGTTGCGCCTCTCGGTCTCACGTTCGCTTCATGCCGTCGCCTCCGTCGTGCCGAGGCGCAGCGACGGGGGGCGTTGTCGTCGCTGTCGCCGGATCAGGCGCGGCGACGGGGGGCGTTGTCGGCGCTGTCGCCGGCGCGGGGGGCTCAGGGTCCCCCTCCCGCTCCTCGAGAGCCCTCAGCAGCCCCGCCAACCTCCGCCGCAGCTCGCATTTCTGGGTCACCTGCGTGCGATTGAACAGTCAGCGCTACGATATGCGACAACAATGGTCGCCGTTCGCCACTAGGTCCTCCGGTTTTTCCCTCCGCATTTAGAAATATGCATTTAGAGCGTTTGGCTGCAATAAATTTGCATATGATAAGCCACTTCGTTGAGCTATCAGTTGTGGCCGGGCAGCTTCTGAAAAAGAGCTACATAGCTCAGTGGGCCTTACCTGGTAAAATAAAAAAAAAATTTAGTTTTAGTTTAAGTGGCAGCGACATCACCACGGCACCTGTGCCAGGCCAGGTGTACTGAGAGGCCACGTGAAGTGTCGAAGGCTCTCCCCGAGCAATAAATGCCCTGATAGTGCCATTGTCATTGCACTGTTCGCCTTTTGGCGTTCTCTGGTCTGACACTTTTGAGACTAGGCCATGAAGAAGGCTGTCTCTGGTGTAGGCCAATCAGTTTCAAAGACAATGCATATATTATCAGAACATGATCATTTGCATGTTCACCACAATTACGTGTGGTTAATGGAGACTTGATTCCTTAAAAAAAGGTTTATATTTGGTGTTTGAACATCTTAACACCTGTTTTATTGCTAGAAAGGGTAGAACCTATTATTTTTCATATTTCAAAGGCTCGCTGGCAGGAGGTCACGGGGCAGACTCAGGTGCCATGGGTTGACCAACTGAGATAACTGGCAGATGCACCAGCTGTACTCCTCCTGTGCCAACTTGCTGCATTTTAGCCGCCTGGCGGCTCCGGTCATGGTTGTGAGCATCGCTCCTCTTCCCTCCGTTGTTGCTGGAGGGCGACTGACTTCCTCCAACTCCCCAGTAGCGTCCTTCACGAGCCTCCTCACCCACTCACATCACAATACTGTGAGACCCCTGGCTTACGTCGGGGGAGATGCGTTCCTGAAAGGTGCGACGTTGAATATCGAAATGACGTCAATCAAAGAGATTTGCGGGGTTAGGTGGTGGAGGCGAATGCTGAGAGGCGACAGGATAACTGAGAAAGGACGGACGATGCATTCAGCGACGGGTAGCGGTATTAATGAAGTGACGACGTGTTTGCGAAACTACGTAGAGAGGGGAGGCTTAAATCGGGGAATCCGCTGCTAGATCAAGCCCTCCGCCAAGTCGCCGCCAGCTCTTTGCGGTTCTGCGATGCGACAGCTACACCCGGCATTGTAAGTTTAGTAAAAAAAAATTGCCTTGGTTTATTTTGGCACAGATAAAACCCAGTCGACAATGAATTCCCGTTTTTGATCGTGTCCTGGCTACTCAATAGAAACCTGGTTCCAGCAAGACAAGTGAAAACAATCAAAATAACAACTGTACTCTGTCAAGGTGAAACACTTATTTATTTTTTTACCCGGTAAGGCCCACTGAGCTATATAGTTATTTTTTTTGCAGAAGCGACCTGGCCACAAATGACAGCTCAAAAAAATCAACGCGACCACGGGGAGAGGGACCCGCAAACTTCAAATATACAGCAGCAGCAGCAGGCGTCAAGGGTCGGGATCGAACCCACGACGTCCTGCATACCAGGCGAGGTAGTTAACATCTCGCCACGAAGTTACGAGTGGCAAGGTCGTGCATCGACAATGGTGCACGTATATGGGCATTGTGTAAACATCAAATCTTCTTTGGTTCTTTCGGTAAAGTCACGTAGAATGAGAATAAAATAATAAATTGATAAAATAACACAATAATATTCTCACTGTGAGAATATTATTGTGTTATTTGTGTTATTTTATTTTATCAATTTATTATTTTATTCTCATTCTACGTGACTTTACCGAAAGAACCAAAGAAGATGAATCATTGCAGTCACGAAAGCTTTAAATCGAAATTTAAACATCAAACGTCAAAGCATTATGACTGTTAAGCCACGGCTTACTCTGGCTGTCCCCCTGATGATGCCAGCTGCAATTACTGGCGCAACGTCGTACTCAAGATTGTAAATGTTGTGGATTTGCCCTCCGACACTCGGATGTGGCTGTACTGAGAATTTGTATTGTTATATATATTATTATATATATAACAATACAATACGCCGTGCTCTGCCCGTCTTCACTGTTATAATCGGCGCTGACCAGCGTGATGAAGTATGGTCAAATACAACAACAGCAAAAACACCCCCCCCCCCCCACCCCCTCGCGACCCGCAACGGCATAGGAGAGGAGCCCCTTCATCCAGCAGTGGATTGACACAAGGGCTGTTAAACACGAACGGCGCGCTGTCAATGTAGGTACAGCGTTCAATGTGAAGTGACAGTCACGAGGGGAAGATTCATCCAGCGGTGGAGAGAGCGCGGCCCGACTGTACGCCCAGACACGTTGCAAACAAAAAGCTCGCGTTTCAACTTCCCACTGCACATCGACAGCGCGTCCTCGATCACGCCTCCCCATTGGCTACGACTCACACGGCAGGGCGTGGCTCGAGGGTAAATCGCCGTGGGCGCCACCCACTCTGGCCGATTCCAGCCAATCACGTTCCGAGACGCACGACCCACAGCGAGCATGCGTGTTACCGAATCTAAAAGAAGGGATTTTGCCGCCCTATTAAAATAACATTAACATTTTCCTTGTCAAAGTATTAAATTTTACTTTAATCGCTTCCTCCTCCGTGAGCGTTCGCGGCAGATGCACGAGGTTTTCAATCTGCCTCAGCTTCTTCCTCAGTTTGCGAATCTCGCCATCGGGCGAACGTCCGCTCTCGGCCATAGGACCTCCGCCGTTCGCGTCTCACAATCCCCAGTGCACATAGGCAAAGGGGGAGAGGGGATAATGCGACGCCGTTGCTTATGAGTAGTGGGGAATTGTGATTCCCATATAAGGGCATGGGCGGAGCGTTTGCAAATGAGATGGGCGTGGACTATGCTAATATATGTTAATTAGGTAGGATGGTGGTGGTGTGTGGGTGGTGGTGGGTGTGTGGGTGGATGGTGGTTTGGCATGTGAGTGGATGGTGGTGATGGGTCGGTGGGTGTGTAGATGGTGGTGGTGGGTGGGTTTGTGGATGGTGGTAGTGGGTGGGTGGATGGTGGTGGGTAGATGGTGATGGTGGGTGGGTGTGTGGATGGTGGTGGTGGGTGGGTGAGTGGGTGGTGGTGGTCGGTGGGTGGATGGTGGATGGTGGTGGGTGGGTGGATGGTGGGTTGGCGTGTGGGTGGATGGTGGTGATGGGTCGGTGGGTGTGTCGATGGTGGTGGTGGGTGGGTTTGTGGATGGTGGTAGTGGGTGGGTGGATGGTGGTTGGATGGTGGTGGGTAGATGGTGATGGTGGGTGTATGGATGGTGGTGGTGGGTGGGTGTGGGTGGATGGTGGATGGTGGTGGGTGGGTGGATGGTGGGTTGGCGTGTGGGTGGATGGTGGTGATGGGTCGGTGGGTGTGTCGATGGTGGTGGTGGGTGGGTTTGTGGATGGTGGTAGTGGGTGGGTGGATGGTGGTTGGATGGTGGTGGGTAGATGGTGATGGTGGGTGTATGGATGGTGGTGGTGGGTGGGTGTGGGTGGATGGTGGTGGGTGTGTGGGTGGATGGTGGTGGGTGGGTGTGTAGGTGGATGGTGGTGGTGGGTGGGTGGTGGTGGTGTGGGTGGATGGTGGTGGCTGTATAGTGGTGGGTGGATGTGTGAGTGGATGGTGGGGGTATGTGGGTAGATGGTGGTGGTGGGTGGATGGTGGGTGGGCGGGTAGGTAGGTGGATGGTGGGGGTGGGTGGTTGGTGGTGGTGAGTGGGTAGGCGGTTGATGGTGGGTGGATGTGATGTTTGGTGAATGGTAGTGGGTGGGTGAGTGGTGGTGGGTAGGTGGATGTATGGTGGTGGGTGGGTGAATGTTAGTGGTGGGTGGGTTGGTGGTAGTTGATGGGTGAGTGGGTGGTGGTGTTGGTGGTGTCCCCGACTGCCCACCCCGCAGGGTAGTCGACCGGCAGGTCACGTGTGGTACCATAAAATGTGGGTGTTCCCACGTCTTTCACCAGGGCGTATGACCAATGTGGAAGAGTAGACCAAATACCCACAAGACGGGCTCTCCAGAGCTCTGTCGAGTGGAGATCATTCCGTCAAAAGTGTTAGAAATTGCAGGACCGCACCTCTGTCTTAACACCTATACCACTACGGATATGTAGTGGTTGAAGATCTCATCCAGAAGTGGATTTACCATGGTTGAGGATGATTTTAGAAGTGATTCGGTGATGCAGGTGCGCTGGTAGTGGTGCACAGGCACTGCTAACTAAATAAAAACCGCAACACATTCGTGACAGCATGTGCTTATGAAGGTCCATTGCACGAAACGTCGCCGGTCATATATTATTCTAGGGCGAAAAAAAAACCTTAACGATTTAAAAAAAATATTTATTATGTACTGGACAAGCGTCGCTGCAAGAACAGAAAAATAAATATATTGACTCAAGATTCGAATAGGGAAAATTTTGAAGCGCGCGTGACGATTAATCGAATCGTTTTCGGAGCCAACTCTGAACGCAACCGACGCGAGCGAACCCTCTTATGCTAATGATCCGTTATTCTAATGGGCCAATATGCTAATTACCTGATATGCTAATTATCCGGAGACTGCACGGTTAACTTAAAGGCGCTTTATGCTAATTAGCCGGAAGCGAGCGTTTTAAAGTCCACGCGCGCGCGCGACGCTTGGTAATAACAATCGGAAGTTTCCGCCGGCAAAACCGGAAGTTTATATTAATTGGCTCCTTATACGACATATTTATCCCCCGCCCAACTCCCGTCCCCACCTACTTTGCTGGAGGGGGGCGGGGGCCGTGAGGGGGCGGGGCCGTGAGGGGGCGGGGCCGTGGGTGGGTGGGTAGGTGGGAGGGGGTGGGGAGGAAGGCGGGGCCCGCGGGGAGGAGGAGGAGGAGAGCGCGAGGGAGCAAAGAGAGAGCGCTTGAAGAAAAAAAGCGGAGACGCCGAGCCGAGAGAGAGAGAGAGAAAAAAACTCTCCCCCCCCCCCCCTGTCCGTGTCTCTCGCAAGCTCGACTCGGAGCGGCCAACGGCAAAGGTGCGTTTCGCTGCAGAGCGCCGAGCATTCCGCTTTCCGTCGTCACCACTTCGTATTTTATTCGCCAGCCGAAGCGGTTTTTTTTTTTTACAGCAAGCTGCTCGCTCGTTAACCGTCGTAGCGCTGTCGTTTAATTGATTGCCCGCGCTTTATTTTTTTTATAAAAAAGGCGCGTCAGGTATGCGGAGCCTTGAGGGGGGGGCGGGTGGTAGGGGGGGGGGCGTAGCTGAGGGGCGGGGCCGATGGAGGCGGGGGGTATAAAAGCGCGCGATCGCCCGTTGCATTTCCCAGCGCGCATCGGTTCCTCCGGCGTTCCCGTTGGTCGGCGGGCGCGTCACGTGCCTCGCCCGCGCCGGTCGGTGGGCGGTGCGCGCGCCGCGCTCTCGACCAATGGGAGCGCGCCGTTTCCCGCTAACGCCACGCGTGTGCAGTGGAGATTTTAAAAGGGGCGGGGCCGGGACGTGTGAGGGGCGGGGCCCGTGAGGGGGGGAGTGGATGAGGGGGGGGGGTTTGCGGGCAAAAAAAATGGCGGCTTTTTTTTCTTTTCGTTTTTTTATCTTTTTTTTTCTACCCCCATTTTTTTTTGCTTAGAGTTTTTTTTTCTTTTGCCCACCTCTGGCGGCTGAAGTGGCGACCGCCAATGTTACCCGTGGCGAAATTGAGGGAAATTAATTGCGCGAAAAAATGTGTTTTACCTCAGAAAATAACCAACATACGTTGTTGTGTGTGCGTATATATGTAAACGCGCGCACCGGACAAAAGAATCCACTGTTTTATTTAAGCTCACATTGTTAACGAGTCACTATTAAGTGCGAATCTTAATGAGCTTCCGAAACAAGTGATGCGAATGAGGAGGCAACCGTGATTATAAAAAAAAAACTGCACAGGGCAATCAAGCCCCCCCCCATCCGCCTTTGTCTCGTTTGTTTAAGGCTGAGTCGACCTAGACGTACCACAGACACGTCTTGTCTATAGTTAGCGATGGTGCTATCAATGCTGGCAATATCATGGTGGTTTAACTATCATAACATTGTGCCTGTATGTTTGTAGGTACCCCGTACGCATGCAAAACAGTTTGCGAGCATCTATTGTTACAGCTTGTTACGTAGCTAGTGATTGTGGTGGTAGTGGTTATCAATAGTGGAAGTTGTATTGGTTAAGCCACGCGTGTTGTGTGGTCGTTTTAAAGCCGAGTCGACGTAGGGGAGAGCTGGCCTGTAGAGAGAATAGCTGTAAAATCGTACAGTATTGAAATCCCCGTCTCGGCAATTCATCCTTGGTGAACAATGTTGCCAATGCAACGTACATACAAATATGCACGTATTCGTACATGCAGTTGTCATAGGATTACGTGTACACGTAATATAACAAATGTAATCATATACGTGCACAGTTCCACACGTAAACAGCTCTAAATACACAGGGGTTTTCTGAGCGTTGTGTAGTACACACAATTATATGCGCACACGCGTGTACATATACACACTTGTACACAAGCATGTACATATGCAACACGTGTACATTCACGTTTCCACGTGTACTTTGTAAAAATGTGCGGGAAGGGTTACATGCAAACCTGATGTCCATAGAGTATACATGCACATACACACGTGTACCCACACATATGCGTATACCGACACGCACGTAAGCACATGCGTGTTCGTACTTACACATTTGTACACGCGAGTAAGCATGGACACTTACACACGTGTAATACAAATGCAAAGATCCCCCGTATAGCCTTTAACAGACTGTTGGGGCAAGTGCTGTTGGCGAGTAGTTAACAGCACACGAGGGGTGTGGGCCAGTACCATGCCCGGCCGCCTTTGTCTCCTCGGTGCCGATGTTTACCCCACCGCGCACAAGGTGCTCATTTCAGACAGAGACGATCTAGGGGAGAGGCACGGGACCTCGGCAAGATAATCGGCACCGGTGTTGGTCGTGAGCCCGAATCGAACTCGGGAGTCGTCGGGCTCGCCGCGCAGTTCGCTAACCACTGCACCACCGCTCCCCGCACACACGCGTACATTCACGTGCACACGTAAACATGCAGTTCAAACGTACACACTTCAATGCCGAGGTAATGCTGTGTGCGTACACAATTATAAATTTACAAATGCAGCCGCAGCAGCACACGCACGTACTGTCGAAATGCACAAGTGAGTACCATGTATGTAAAACTATACCCACATCTGTTTGTGGACACATGAAAGTACTGTACCGTATATATACTCACAAGTATACGAAAACAGGCTTGAGTACATGCGCAAGTACACATGCATGATTCAATACACGCATACGTACGCACCCATCTAGTACATGATCGACTTCCCGTGTGCACACGTACAATCATACATGCATGTCCCCACGCTCCACGTATACACAGACCCATGCATGACGACTGCGCACGTACACAAGCATGCTTGTGCATGCTTGTGTACACATGGACACAGTGTATATAGTTAATGCTCAACGTATGCATGCACAAACAAGTATGTGCACGTAGGCACACTGTATATACAGTACATGTCCAACGTATGCACACATGCAGTACACGTGTAGTATATAACATACGTATACTCATTTAGTGTCTTTTGTCAATCCATTGCTGGATGAAGACCTCCCCACGACTTCTCCTGAACTCGTATTTGTGCTGAGCACACACACACACGTGTGCACTATTTAGCATCTGTACACGTCCTGTGAGTAAACAGTGAGCGTACGTAAACACACATCATCACACGTAATGCACAAAGAATATCGTCACACGTGAGATTACGTAAACATGTATTTACACGTGTGTGTGTGGACATGTACGGCCGTATACACATTGCCTATATACTGTATATGCAGTGCTAAATACTATATACATTGAACCGTACACAGGACCATACATTTGCCTTACACAAGTATACGTGCGTGCACACACATCTTCACACTCAATGTGCAGTATTACACTCGCGCGTACACAACGTGTTGACTCGCCACCCTTGATCAATCTACTGCTGGATGAGAGTCTGCCCACGCCGCGTGGGTCGTAGAGGTTTGACCATGTTTCACCGCGTAGTGTGTACACCGTGTGCACGTGCCATGCTTTTTGTTGTTGTTGTGTTTAGTTTGTCCTTACTCCCGCACGTCCGACTGACACGGTTGGCTACGTACGGTGCGAAAGAAGTTCATAGTACTGCACATGCACAGTGCGCATTAGACGTGCGGTACAGTTCACACACACGGACACACAAAACAAACACCCCACCGCCTCCCAAATTCTTCTTTATAGACCATATAAAACAAGTGCACCTACGAAGGGCTGGCACGGCACATGGTGCTAATCGATGCACGCGTGTGAATTGTAGCACGCACATGCGTGTGCTGCACTGCGATATAGAGCATGTGTTGCGTTACTACGGCGCCCGTGCCAGGCCAGGTGCACTCCGAGGCCACGTGGAGTGACGGAAGTCTCGCTGGCAATGAGATCATGGGACACCCCCCCCCCGCCCAGGTGCCGTGGGTTGACGGAGATGAACTGGCAGATGCACCACCTGTGCCGCTCGTTGTTATGAGCGTCGCTCTTCTTGCCTAATAGCGTACTTCACGAGCCTCGCCCACAGAGGCTGATCTTAACACTGCTGGTTACCGGTCTTAGGCAAGTCCACATCCCCCTGTACCACATCAGTACATTCTCTAGCCTGTGCCGCGCCCGTTTAGCACCTTCTATCCGGTCAAACAGAAGCACGTTGCTTGGGTATGCGGTGGCTGGGCATGCGGTGGCTGGGCATGCGGGATACAATGACCCAGCCATAAAGAACGTACACGCTTGTACATGCGCACACGTGCTCATATATACACATACCGACAGTACAGATAACATGAGCTGTATGTAAGCTCCTACACACTACTGTGTGTGTGAGAGAGAGAGAGATGGATGGGGAGCGGTAGTGTAGCGGTTAGCGCGCTGCGCCGCGAACCCAGCCGAGTCAGATTGCCGCTTATGGCAAACATCGGTGGCGATTATCTGAACCGGTCGAGGGCCTCAACTAGGTCAACTCTGCCTTAAATGAGTCACCCGATGCGGTGTGTACACATCGCCACGAGGGAGACGAAGGCGGCCTGGTGTGGCGCTGGCCACCAACCCCCTTTGTGTACCGGCCTTCATATATATAAGGTGCTCGCTTACAGCACTTGTCCTGACAGTCTGTTAAGGGGGGGGGGGGGGGTCTTTGTACGTACTTTACGTGGAAGCTCATCGTCAAACATAGGCTTACGAGTCAACCAACGTGGTGTGTCCGTGCATGCTTAGCACGGGGAGCGGGAGGGGTGTCGATCGAGTCCTGGCCAGGGGGAGGAGCAGGAGGAGGATGGTGCTTTGTGGTGATGATAATGGTGATGATGATGGAGATCGAAGGATACTAATGTTGATGGGGTAGGAGGGAGTGAGTGAGTGAGATGAAGACGGGCTGGCTGGGTGGGTGGGCAACAGAGGAGTGGGTGACTCCGCCTCTGAGAACATGGCGACTGCGGCTGCCATTTTTTTCTTTTGTCTCGTTTGGTTTAAAGGGAGGGAGGAGAGAGTGAGTGGGCGATGAGAGAGAGAGAGACGCAGGGCGAGAGTAAGACAGACGGGATGGTGCACGTACAGAGGGAGGAGGGGGTGCCAGTGGCTAACCTAGAGCCCCCCCCCCCCAATTTTGATTAGACTCAGACTCGTTGCGTGCTGCTGGAATGATAAATTTTGTGTTTTTCTTAGGGGGCGCGGGGAGGTTCGTTATTTTTTTAGTCGAAACTCTTTACTCCCCCCCCCCCCCCCCCACTTCTGTTTTCACTACGTGATGGCTGCGTTTTTTTAAGTACTGTACTGTTATTTTTCCTTAAAAAATGTGCCACGGTGTTATTTTAAAGACTTGCATGTGTTCCCCCCCCCCCCTTCGCCCAATGCAGTGACATTTATTAATGGTGCATTGTGATGTTCCAAAATGTAATGCAGTGGTGGTTATTTGAAG